ACAATGAATATATGTATGTTCATGTATAACTGAAAAATTGTGCTCTACACTGGAATTTGACACAACAATGTAAAATGACTATAACTCAATTTAAAAAAGTTTAAAAAATAAATAAATACATAAGTAAATAAACCTAATTATTTTTTTAAGTTGACCCACAAAAAGGGGAAACAGATTTATTAGAAAAAGCATATCCCTTCTCTCGCTCTGACCCCAAATTTTATGAAGTCTTTTTCTTTTGTTGGCATACAAACAGAAACAGAGTCTTTAAGCTAGAAAGTTACCTTAAACGATAATCAAACATAGGAAAAGAATCAAACTAGCATATGAAAATTAAGATCTAAGATCCCTAGGTTCTTACATGATGGTGAATCCAGAGAGAGCAGACAAACATAATATTCTAAGGGAAAAGTATTTTGTAACACTGTAACCCCCTTACCTAGGGCACTAATGTGTCTGCTAAAGAGGACCCCGTTTTTTATCATTTTTACTAATTATGAGCATGGACCCCACAGAAGTCCGCTGTGCTGCCAGGCTGGCTTTGACGGGCCTCACTGGGTCCTGGCTCCGTTGTTCTTCACTCAGACCTTGTCTGCTCAATGTCCCCAAATTCACACCACGTGGAATTCCCTCCTTGTGCCTTTAGTTTGTGACAGACTGATTGATATCTGCGCTCTGACACTGATCTGAATAGATGTCAATAACACAGGATTTTGCGAACCTCTCATAAGGAGTTAACTTGTTCACTTCATAGTCTTAAGGGGCTGCCTGGTAATAAATTAGCTCTGGCTGTTAGCTTAGCTGGCCAGCAGCATTTCTATCTCACAAGCCTCCTGAGGAATATTGAAGACAAAATTCTTCTGGTAAATGATAAATGTACTAGTATAGGAATATCTAAAATAGCAACATTATTCCAGATTGCTTTACTACAGTCAGATCTTTATAAATACAATTAGAGGGTAATCCACTAAATAATTACATTTGGGTAATAATACTCCTGTCTGATTGTCATAAAGCAGGCAGCTGTCTGTGGTATTCTGTGGCAATCTTAAATTTAAATCTTAGGAGTAGAAAACAGCCTGATGGACTGCTTTCCAGGGTACGGCATTTAGTAAACTTTATCACTTTTGTTACGGTGATATGATCATTTGTTTGTTTCTGTGGTTTTACTTAATTATGTCTGTATGCTTATTAATGTAGTTTTTAGATAGTCTTCAAAAATATATATCCATACCATAAGCATTCATGTGTTGATATAAATGGTGAATCTTATTAACAGTTCTAATGTCCTGAATGTTTCTAATATAATTGTTCTTAATATTTCTTAGATCTGGCTGTATGTAATTTAGAGAACAATCTGAATTGCTGAGAGTCTTGGACAACTGTTTAGGAGATTTTTAGTATCCCCAAAACTCCAGATCGAAAAATGAAAGCTTTTCACCAAGTTATGAATCTGCTAGGTTCTAGATGTTTGACACTTTTTTTTAAGTGTTGATGTTGGGGCAGAAAGATGGGGGAGTTTGGAAAGCAAAGCATGTTTTCTGTAACTAATTATCCACCCAAGGCTCTCAAAATACTTACCATCAACAGCAAACTAGCTTAAAGCAAACTCCATTAAGACTAATGTCAAAATAGACAAGGAATGAATTGGTTTCCTAAGCAGTTATGGTACCATAATTTGTTGCATTTAGCAGGCAATTCACCTATTTCTGTTATTGGCGAATAGATTTACTAGTGAAAAAACACTTTTCTTCAAAGTCACTTTTTAGCATCCTTAATGAACATATTTTTGGAAGCTTACAAATCGGAGACAATTCCCAGTTATTTAAGAAAATATTCCTGCCCTTACTATTTTGATATAATTAAGAAGAGGTGATGGGTAAAAAAAATAGTTGGGAAATCCCCTTAATACTAGTGATTTTATTATTAATTAAGTATAGACTGTTACTCACTGACACAGCGCCCCCTCAGTTTGAAGATGGGACTGTAAAGACCCAGGGGTCTCAATTACTTGCCCCAAGTGAGCCAAGACTAGAATCTTCATATGCTGGTCATAGTCTGATGCTTTTTCTGCCATGATTCGAGGCGTGGCCTGTGACCTGAGGTCCACTATGCACACGTTCTCGTAACAAACCAAACCCAGGTTCCACCTCGCAGATCGTCTTCCCTTTGTAGGTCTCGCTGGAAGTGTGGTCACTTCTGCAGCAAAGAACCTTGCTTCACTTCTGGTATGTTTGCATCCTGCACTCCATTTCTTTACTCATTATTCTTATGCTTTATTGTACTGTAATGTCTTTGAATTCATTTTAAATAATAATTAGAAATCGTAACTCAAATTAAAAGTCAATTGTCTGTGCTGCCAATGGGAGTAATTCAGTGAGTGGTAACTGCTATGCTCAGCCAAGGTCATATGTGTGTCCTCTAGGTATGACAGCCAGGTCACAAGTAAACCCTCTGCCTGTTACCTTGGTTTCTTTTGCCATCAATTATAAGGTATATTCCATTTGCAGAAACACCAAAATATGAGGGAAGGGAGTAGAATTATTAGAATTTTAGCATTTTATATTTCCTCTATGGTGAGATGGTGGGGGGTTAAATTTATTTTTACTACAATGGTAATCTGCATTACAAATTATAATAAATTACTTAATCTGGGGCCATTGCAATGGTTCTTTACAGGGTGAAAGTTTCACTGGTTAATAAAACCATGTAGCAACTAGTGGACTTGAGTAAGAAGTCCTCAAGGTCATTGCCTTGTCAGTGTGTTGATGGAACCTTTGAAAATCAGTGCTTAATGATAACAGTGGCACCACTGTTACATAACATGTTATATAATCGAGTTCCAGTTGTAATCCTGTATTAGATTAGATACGGGATTAGAACTGGAGAAACCAACTTCCAAGCCACTGCTGTGACTACTGCTTCCACCTTCTCTTCAACTTTCTGCAGTGCTTGTTTTCCCAGTCTAGACTAGTCTGTGAGAGTCTGTCCTCATCTACGAAAGGACTCAGGAGCAGTGCTCTGCGGTTTGGTACCTCCAAGAGTCATAGAATCTCAGAGTTAAAAGGTACCTAAATGATCATCCACAGTTGTGTTTCCCAGCACAGTGGATCCTGGAAGCCTGAGGAACTGTCCACTCCAGATGTCAGGAATGACGGGGAAGAAGAGATGAGAGCTAGGTCCCAATCATATTGCGGGGAGGGAGCCTGAGAAGGAAAGCACTGCATGATGGAGCTTGTCTGTCTGATTCATAGCTCAGTGGGAAAGGATTCTAGAAGATTCTGCCCACCCCTTCCTCCTGTCACCCTCAGCTGTATATCTTACAGAATTATGTGAGCTCATTGAGCTATGCTCCAGTGAGTTCCCTTGTCCTGTAAGATCATGGGGCTGTTACCAAGATTATACATCAGGAAAGCGCATACTTCCAAAGCGCACACACCTGGCAATTCCTGAAATTAACTGCGCACCAAATTTAAGATCTTTATGCTAGTAGCTTAGGAGTTCTCTTATTCATGTTCATATTAATATATTTGTATTCAAATGTGGTATTTTTTGCACCTGTTTGCAGCAAGGCTATCAGGAACAGGAAAACAATACATATAGTACTACACAGCGTGATGTTGTGTGGAGCGTCTTTGTACAGTGATTTTTCTGCCCTTAAAGTAGACACTGGCTGCCTGAAACTTGGCTTTGTATTTTCAGTGACAGTGCTGTCATACAGCCACCTGCATTGAAACAGTGATGGAAATGTGCTTAAATTAATGTGAACATAGCTGTCCATAATGTGTCTCAGCTAATGATAATAATAATAATAGTAGTAGTAGTAGTAGTAGTAGTAGTAGTAATAATTCCAGCTAACATAGATTGTCAGGCTCTCTCAGCCAATTCCATGTAGTATCTCAATTAATTGTCACAGTAACTCACTGAAGTAGAAGCTATTGTTGTATTCATGTTAGAAATGAGGACAATGAAATGTGGACAGGTTAAATAACTTGCTTGAGGTCAGATATCTGATCTGACAGTGAAGGAAGGATTGGAGCCCGGCTGTGTGACGCCAGAGCACGTGATCTTAGCTACTACTGTAGTTTGAGTGCATAAAAGTATTTTAGCGTTTCTTCCCACTTCTTAATCCTCAACTGTAGTAGGCCTATGCCTTGATTGAGATGTTATAACTCTTTATCGTTTAACTATCATCTTAGTCCACCTGACATAGTTTTACATCACTGCAGGCAAGTATTATGTAAAAATATCTTTAGGAAAGTAATTCGGGGGGAAAGGTGTAGCTCAATGGTAGTGTGTGCTTAGCTTGCATGAGGTCCTGGGTTCAATCCCTAGTACCTCCATTAAAAATAAATAAATAAACCCAATTACCCTCCCCAATAAATAAATAAATTAAATAGTGCAAAAAATATTCCTTAAAAATCTAGAAAAGAAAAGTAATTGAGAAGATTTCTGAATACAGACGATCAGGGCAACAGTAGAGAACAAAATGTTCACCTACTGCTGTTCTCAGCTCTTTCCATTTGTGCTGTAAGTCACAGAGAACTTGAGTAACAGTTTCTCCAAAAGGAAGAGTTCTGAAGATCACGTTTTCCCTGTGCCTGCAGACGGTGTTAACAAGCTCAAGCTGATTATTTTGTTCCCTAATAAATTTTCTCCGAGAACCGTGACAGAAAAGCCACAAGAAATGCCATCACCATTAATTCCCAGATTTTGCCTGTTTCTCCAGAGGTTCATTTGCATACCATTTCCCTGTTCATGTGTGCTGTGCATTCATTTTATCATTCCATATGTTAAAACACTTATAATTGACAAAATCTCCACAAAGGGCCTTTATTTGTCAGCAGAGCAGAAACCAGTCCGTTTATGAAAACTGTGTTCCTGCATAACCATCGCTTGTTGAAAAGATCCCTGGTGTGTTTCCTGTTATTCATGCATAAAATGTGTCAGGGATCCTGCAGAACTCATTACATAAAGGCTTTGTGTTTGTGTCATTGTAGGCTAAAGGTAAAGAGAGACAGTGGCTAAGACACCAAGCTACTGGGGAACTAGACGATGCCAAGATCATTGATGGTCTGACTGGAGAAAAAGCCATCTACAAACGCCGGGGTGAGCTGGAGCCACAGGTGAGCCCTGGTGCTCTAGGAGCCTGGGTCTGCAGTTGGGTCTTCTATACAGGCAGATGCTTTCTTGAGTTGTTGTCTTTGTCAGAACACCATCAACCCTAAATATGGCAACCAAGGAAAGCATTATGTTTTTTTAAACTAGGAAAAAAATAAACATAAATATTATACTGTTTATTATATGAGTCAAGATCCCAGTGTGAGTCAAGAAACACCAGGCACACTCAAATTGAGCAATTTCGGGAACAGTTAATAAGAACAGTTAATAAGAAGACTATTTATAAAAGTAAGGGTGAGGTTTAGAAAATCAAAAAACAGACAGTGTGGTATCCCAGCAGCAAGGATCTGACCCAACTCTAGTCTAAAAGGGGAGAGGAGGGAGCACTTACCGGAACCCAGGGAAGGCAGTTTTTGGAGAGGGCTGCCTGCCAGGAGCCGTGCCCTTCAGTAGCCAGAGAGCCCACCCACGGGCCACAGCAGAGAAGAGGCTGAAAGAACAAAGAACCCATCCTCACCCTCGGATCTCCTGCCGGGGCCGCCCATCAGTGGAGCCCACTGGAAGCCAGCAGCCGGGAGAGAAGCCAGTGCAGTGACACAGATCAGCTCCTAGGACATCGAGCAGGGTGCCCTGGAGGGGAAACCAAAGACATGTGGTGTCTGTGAATCCCAGAGGGTGTTGTGAGTGAAAACACTAGAACAATCTTGGTGGGTTTCTATTGTTCGGTTAAAGATCTGTGTCCATCCTGTAACTGGAAAAATGCTTAGAAAACAAGGAATTTGCCCTGAAATAATTCTAATTATAGTGTGTAAAGTTTTAGACAGCCATAATATTAAAATATTTGCGATACCATGGCAATAAGGGGAAATACGGAACCTCTTTGAGGCTCTGTGACTTCCTGTGTCCCTGAATAACCAGAATTGGTGAGTGGCCACTCTGAGCTGGGGGTGCAGCGACTGGTGGAGGGAAGAGAGCCGCACACTCCGTCTAAATGTTGATTCGGAGAGGATCCTTTAGTAGTTGTGGGAGTTCTTCTTTCTGTGTCATTGGTATGAGTCATCAGCTGCTTCCTTTAGTGACTCACCGTGGTCCACAAATGTGTGTAGATACATTCGAAATTGTGAGCCGTCATAGAAGTGTATGCGGCACTGTTCTTCATTTAGGCAGCCTCAGCGAACTTTTAAGAAATATACTGAATTTGCCGCCAACAACCATTACACTCTAATGCCACCAGCAATTTTCTTGAAGCTCCTAACTCTGCTCATTAGTTTTCATACATGTCAGCAAGTGTGTAGTAACAGACTAATCTGGAATTTTTCTTCTTTTTTTCTTTGTAAGTAAAACCGACAAGCATACTTTCATTTTTAATCCCACAAATTGGCGGGCCTGAGTCCAACATCAGGCCGCAACTCAGAAGAGTTTCCCGTTTTAACTGACCGCTATTGCTAGACGGCAGTTCGATGCCACTTGCGTGGCTTTAACCGCCAGGAAAAGTAAAGAGAAGTAGCAATTCAGTAACGGGAAGGAGGAGGAAACTGAAAGCTTCTTAAAGACAAAGGACCCTGAAGAAAAATTTTCCTTCAGCTCTTTGCCAGACCACCCCTGGCCCCCCCTACCCCTCACATCACCTTGTTTTAGGAATCGGACCTCTCTTGCAGACTGTGTGGGAAATGATTTTCAGGTCACTGCAGAGCCAGTACAAGTAAAATTGATGTGGGCTTCCAGAATAACTCCATCATGCTAGAGTAACTGACTCTAAGACGTGATGTGAAATTGACACGTGGGAGGTTATATCCTGCCAGATTATTATTTTTAAGACAACATCAGGGGGAGGGTATAGAGCTCAGTGGTAAAGCACAAGCTTAGCATGCACGAGGTCAAAATTTCCATCACTAGTACCTCCATTAAAAAAATTAACATAAATAAATGAACATAATTACCTCCCCCCTCCAGGAAAAAAAAAACCAACATCAGCCTCAGGAAGGGAGTTTTACTAGACTAAGTTGGTGCTTAAAAGGACCATATTCCAAAAGGAAATCTTTCCCACATGGCCCCACTACCAGCACGAGTCTGAAATTCTGTTTACTGAAATGTAATCAGTAGATGCCTCCCCACCTGCCAGGGCAGCCTGTGCAGGGCCCACCGCTGATCCGCCAGCCTCATGGCCCGTACTCTGGGGCCCGTGCAAGCCCCCCTGAACAGCGGCCAGTGATGGTTTTCTGTTGTCCCTCCCGCAGCTGGGCAGCCCCCAACAGAAACCCAAGCGCCTGCGCCTGGTGGTGGATGTGTCCGGCAGCATGTACCGCTTCAACGGCGTGGACGGCCGGCTGGAGCGCTCAATGGAAGCCGTGTGTATGGTCATGGAGGCCTTCGAGAACTATGAGGAGAAGTTCAAGGTAATGGCATGAGCTGAGGAGGATGGGAGCCATCCCAGCCCACACTTGCCCAGAGTCAGCCCGAGTTAGGCCGAAACCTTCATCTTAACAGCTCATGTGTCAGCACTGAGAAAGTCAGCCTTTGGTCTTATCTGCCCTAATAATCAGAAAATGATAAGACCATCATTTAAAACCTATTTACAACAGAAGAAAGCACTGCACTTCCCAAGTTATATGATGTTAGCTATGATGGGAGGTGGGGAACAGTTACATAGAAGGACCAGAAGTCTCTCCCCAGATTTCTCAGAGCCACTATCCTCATCCCAGTTCCTCCCCTCAACCCATTCTTGCCCCATTGCCAGCCAGGCGGCTTCTCAAGGTTGGAGTATGCCCTCAAAGTGCACTGTCCCCAGCATGGCTTTGCCTTTCCACACGGGCGAGGGTCACAAGGTAACAGACGTCTCTCCGGCTGATGGGAAGGGCTTACCCTGGAAGGAATACAGCTTCCCATTTAAACGACATCCATTTTGGTATTCCCAGTTTGCCCTTCCTCATCCTTCTGAGGTCTGAACTGAGAAGGGATGCCCCGCAGCATGTGTGACTGCCCAAGATGAGCCCATCAATCCGCCTTAATCAGCCACAGGGACCCCGCACTCCTGGTCTTGACCAGAGCACATAACCTTGAACACAGTCACATGCCGTGTCATTATTATCAAAAGTTCAGTTGAGAGGAAGTGTGTACTCGCAGATGTGTGTCATGAGTACTCAGCCCACCCGTGCATATTCTAGACCACATTGGGCATCAAACACGTCCTGCAGAAATAGGCAGTCTCAGATCATCATCCAGTTTGACATCCTACCTGCACCTCAGGATTGCTGTCCTGAGTCGTGTCTGTGTGTCTTGATGGATACAGTGAAACAGAGATCGTGAAAGCCATCACTTCATTTACTCTGGGCCCACTTTTGAGGCTCCCAGAGTCCCTTGCATGAAGCTGGCCATGAGAGATTCCTTTTAGAATTAAGAGGTAGGAAAGTGGCCGCTCTAGTCAGTGCATGCTGCTGCAGGGCGGGCTCCCCGGCTGTGCATGAGTACAGGATACAAATGCAAATAGGATATGAACTTGCACCCTGAGGAGTAGCGTTTCCCCTTGTGATTCGTGAAGACCACGGATCTTCGTGACTCCCTGTTGGATTTAGTTGCCAGGATGCTCTGAGCTAAAATCCAAGCCCCGTTGAGCCAACTCTGTCATGTCTTTTGGTTTACGGACTAGTGTTCAGTGTTCTCCTTCCCTTGACCCTCCCTCCCTTCAGATAAGTTTTTCTTGATTTGGGATTTTATTTTTTACTTTTTTGTTTTATGGGTTTCATATTTTTTTTTAATGTTTTAGATCCTTCTGGTATGAGGTGAAGTATCATTTTCTTAAATCACTTCGACCACTGATCAGCAGTGGATGGCTAGACAGCCAGTGCCATCAGTGTAAATCCCACGTGACATTTTGAAACCTCTGGGTTCTGCTAATGTTTCTATCAGCCCATTCACCTCTCTTGTGGATCTTGAAGGTCAAGGCATCTCAAATCCCTCAGCTTGAGTTACACGAAGATTTTAACCCATCAGAGACCACGGCAAACCTACCACTATTAAAATTAGCATAGTCGTAGGTACTCCTAGGATGAAATTTTCAGTTAGGAAGATTTCTGTATCTTTGAGAGCAGAGCTGCTGTTATGTGAAGCTATTTTGTCTAGGTCTTTAAAAAGATTTATTAGAAGTTCACCCAGAAATTGGTTGACAGAGCTCCCTGGGACTGGGTAAAGGATGAGACAGAGGGCAGGATGTGGCGAAGCCGACAGGGAGTTGGGAGAGCTCCCCCACCAGAGCCTGCGGGAAGATGGTGTGGTTGTCACAGAGCGTGTTCAATGTTTCACTGCATCTCACCCGCAGGGAGACGTATAGAGAGATTCATATTTGTCCAGTTCTCATTGCTGAAAGTCTGTCATCTGGAAGAAGGATTAGTAATAACGGAAATGTTGCACACACAAAAAAATAATGTCAAGGCAATCAGCATTTCACAAGATGTCATTTTGTTTTGCTTCTAACTGACAGTTAGACACCAAATTATTGCCATCTGACCTGCTGCATTTCAACTGAATTCAACAAAATCACAAACACGGGTTGAACGCTTGCTAAGAGCAGAGTGCTCCTCTAGGTCCACGGTTCCCTGCCATCCTTGAGCTTGTAGCCTCGTGAGGGAGACAGAGAAACCAATTGTGATAGAAAACTCAGTGAGGAGGCTCCAGTCACAAAGGTTCAGCAAAGCATGCCTCTCAGATGCCCCGGAGGGGCCCCTTCCCCCGAGCAGTATTTGGTTGATAGCCTCCCCGACTGCCCCAACTGCCCTCCAGCTTCATCTGCAAAACCACAGAAATACTGATAAGAGACTGAAGTAATGTATAAAACTGACAAATCCAGTGAAAGTACAGCAAAACACCACGATAAAATAACTTTTTTCAAGGCTTGAAGTAGCTTCATTATTTTTTTTTAAATTTTGGGGTTTTTTGGGTGGGGTAATACTTCATTTTGTATGCTATTTGATTTTTCACAGGAAGTACTTGAAGGATTTTGGTTTTTCTTGTGCGTACATTCACTACATACAATTTGTTTAGAACTTTTTTGGAAGCATAGAGAGTCTTACGAAACTTGTGCCTTTAAATCTTTCCAACAAAAGGAGAAAAGCCTTAAGACTTCACCAAACAAGCTCTTTGAGGAAAAGTGGTACTTAGATGAGTGTCTGGAGGGACAGGGAAGGAGAGACGGGACAGGGAAGGACGGTGAGTCTGGTTCCTGCCACATTCCCCATTATGGACGTAGCCATCAGAGCTGGGGTCACCTCGCAGGTCATTCCCTCCAGTTTCCTCACTCCTCAGACAGGAAACCGAGACCCAGAAACATTAAGCCCTTTGCCCAAAGTCGGAAGGCTGGTTGGAGACAGAGAAGAATAGAGCCCAGGACTCTTCTTCCTTTTGTTTTCCCTTTTATGTTTTGTTTTTCAACTTTCCCCTTTATTTCCCAGGTTTTTTTTTTCTGTTGAAAATTTTTAAATCTACAGAAAAGTTGAAAGAACTGTAAAATGAACACCCACAGGCCTTCACTTAGATTCACCAAGTGATAATATTTCCCCCTTGTTTGTTTCGTGTTTCTCTCTAAATATGTACTCTTTCCTCCTCTCTGATCCATTGGAAAGTAGGTTACAACTATCATCATACTTTATGTCTAAAGACTTTATTATGGTTTTCCTAAGAGTAAGGATGTTCCCTAATATGACCTCGATACCACTATCACGTCTAAGAAAATTATCAAAAATGTCATAATATCTTATAATATCCAATCCACATTCACTTTTCCCAGCAATCCCAAAGGTTTATAATCCTGGGCTATGCATAGAATATAAACTATCCTAGCGGTTTCTAATTATCTTTCCCCATCTACTCTGGGATCCGGTCAATGTCCTCACCTTGTTTTTGGTTGGAGTGCCTTGTTAGCCTCTTCTCACCTGTGACAGCCTTTCCCCCCACTACCATTGCACTTTCCATGACGGTCACTCTCCTGAGTCCAGATTGTTTGTCTGGTAGCCTCCCCCTCATCCTGGATCTGTCTGGCTGCTGTCTCATTGTGCCCTTGACCTTGTCCCAACATCCTCTCTATTTCCACAGCTCCTAACAGGCTTTCTCCCGACAGCAGATACACTGGAGACGTCGTGTAATCTTCCCACCACCCCTGCCAACATCACCACGATTCTGAGTGGCTGCAGGCTACCCAGTCCCTGCTGAGTGGGGCTGGCCAGGTCTCCCTCATGGAGGGTGGGCAGGTGGTGGGAGGGAGCCTACTGACACTCTGAGAAGTGGCGGTGCACCGTTCACTCTGTTCTGTATCTTTACACAATATGATCGTACTCAACTCATTTAATCTGTCTGTACTTTCATCCTCTCATTTGTGAAGGAGGCACAAGGACTAGGGACACCTAACAGAAGTGTGTCACTTACTCCACTGGGATAAAATGATGCACGAACAAGTGACAGTTCTAGGAGCTCTTAGTGGAAACCTTACATTCCACAGCACCCCTGGCATCCTGTGTGTGACTTTAGGAATTCAGTCATGTGCCCTGAGACTTCTCACTTCTCCAGTTCCAGGCGGTTCTTAATGTTATCTTCCTGCAATTTTCCCTTCTTTGTAAAGGTATCTAGTCTGCATTTGCTTTGAAACTGTCAGAAGCCACTGGTGTGGCCCAGAGAGCTGGACTCTTCCCTGAAATCTCTCTTGGCATCAGCTTTGTATTTTCTTTGGCTTGGGCTCAACCCCTAGGCTCTGGGTCATTGGAGTCCAAGTCCAGAAGGCTCATTTGGAGTCAGCCTCCACTTTTATTCCACCTTGGCATGACTCATGCCAAACCACAGGGGCCCTTGAGCAAGAATTACTGAGAAGGGAAGGTAATTCAGTGTCAGAACACATTTCAAAGGCATCTGGAGTTTTTTAAGTTTCTCATAATTGTTCTACCAACTGAATTCCACTGTTCTCAGAAACAGCATTTACAGTAGGCTTGAGATAGAAGCAGCATTATTTGCCAATAATCAGCATAAAGTCCTCTAATCTTATAATCAGCAACATTTTGAATGGTCACGTAGCACGTACCCACTGGCGTGAAAAGTGGAATGGTAACGGTCCTGCAAACCAGTTCATTTAAGGCAGGAAGCTTTTTTTTTCCTTTACCTGCATTCCAGTTTGTCCCTCTTGACTTCTTCAAACCCCTAGGAATGTTTTCACTGTAACCTTGAAGTGGACCTCCTTTTCAAAAGCTCTTAATGGCTTATTTTTTTCTTCAAAGTATTCAATAACATCACAAGTTAGGTGACTGTTTCTCCACTGAGCACCGAAGTGGGTGGCACCAGGAAACAGAGTTACTGAGTTATGGAGAAGTTGGACTTTGAAAAAATAAAGCCTCAAATTTATTGTTTCTATGGAGACATA